AGTGGCCGCACAATTGGCGGCTTCTCAAGAAGGGCTCAGCTCCGTGAGTAAGTTAGTATACATGATAAATGTGATCAAAATAATCATGGGACTGAATGGAATAAGGTTTTGTCACTACAAACAGCAGTGTAAATGTAATTAGAAATGAAAAAAAAGAGGAAAAAATGTGCAAGAGTGGAAATGGTTTTTGAAAATCTCACATAACAGTGGAAAAGAATAAATTTCAGAAAAGGGAAGGTAGTTCCTAGAAAAGAGTTTGCAAGTATGGAAGTGCTGTCAAATTACCTACTGCCAATACAATACACTGTCACAAGAGAAAAGAGAAATACTATTATGTGCTTTTTATAAGTTTGTATAATTTTGCTTGTTATTTGGTATGACTGTGGATCTTGTCTCTCACATAAGGTCAAAGCTGAGGAGACTATTTGGACCTATAAAAGAGGAAATAAGAGGAAGCTGGAGAAAATTGCATATTGACGGACTTTGTAAATTGTATTCCTTGCCATATTCTGTTAAGATGAATGAATCAAAGCAGGCAAAATGGCATGTATCAGAGAAGAGAAATGCATACAAAGTTTTGGTATGAAAACCTGACAGAAGAGATTAGTTGGAAGAAAAATTGGAGGTTGGGAGGATAATTTTAAAGAACAGAATAGGAGGGTGTGGACCACATTCATCTGGCTATGGGCAGATATCAGTGGCAGGGTTTTATGTACACAATATTGAACCTTTGGATTTCATAAAATGCTGGAAAGTTCTTGACTGAGTAACTACAGGATGGAGTATAAACCTGTAGCATTCACAGTAGCTGTTTATTCGGACTAACTGAAAACAAGCAGCACAAGGACAAGTGCGCTGGTGTAGCAGTAATGCTGTAGATGTTATTCAAGAGGTGCTCACTTTGGATCTTGACCAGAACAGTGACTGTCCTGACTGAGGGGTTTAGTGATTTTCCAAAGCCCCTCTAGGCAAACTCCAGGATAGTGCCTCAATTGGGCCATTCCAGTTTTCTTTAAGAGCCTTTCTGTTTAGTGATCATACCGTTTGTTGCTATATAGTCTAGATTTGCAGTAGGAAATTTACACCATGTACTGTGTTCATTGTACATTTTGAAAAATGTAATATCCTGGAAAAATTCTTTTTTCTGAACATTTCTTTCAGTTGAGATAAGCCATTATTCCAGTCAGCCCCCCATGTAGATAAACTTGTTAACAGAACCATGTATATAATGACCACTCATATGATCATCAGAAATTAGAGCTTGTATGACCAGTCAGCATACTGTGCAGTACTGTGTTAGTATTATGTTCGGGTAATGAATATTGACTTTTAAAATGGTTTATGTCATGCAGGTATGCTACAAGGGATGATTAGAGGGTTAATGGTGATAAAGCAATCTTAATGAGAACGCCTGTTCTCATAAAATGTTATTCTTCCAAATACTCTTTTGGCGGCTTGGCTCAAGTATCCTGACTAATTTCACCAATGAAAAACTTGTAAAAAAGGGATTATTTTATAGTGTGTATGCTGTGTCCTAATATTTTTACAGCCATTATCAGCATCCAAATGGTGATCATGCTTTTTTTTTAAACTACCAGGAAAAGACAAGATTTATGATATTAGGTCAGGTGAATTTGGTAGATAGATCATGACAGTAATTCACATTGCATATTCATTACATCACCGATTTTCTTTTGTAAAAGAAATTTCAGGTTTTATGCTGGAATCCTAAGTTTGGCCAAAACTTGTGCTTTTGCAAAGTCTGTATTACTGCAGATAATGATTAAATGAATGTGACACCAAATAGGGTTCAGAGCTGTTCCGTGTATGGAGTGTTCTCCAGTATTTCAGTACTTTCTCCCTTTGCCCCGGGAAAGTCTGTGAGGACACGTAATTGTTCCATTTAAGAGCTGTCCTTGTACAGTGACATGAAGAACAACATATTATCTAGGCTTACTGTTGAGGCGAAAGACATGCACACAGAACCTTTGTGATGAAACCCATTTGAATGTGGTCACTTGGAAGGAAGATAGGTTGTTTTTATCATCAGAGGGTTTAATTAATTGTCTTGTTCACTCCATTTTCTGTATTTTGAAATGAGAATTTAGCAATTCTAGATAAAGTACCCTAATTTGTAAAACCAAGTTACAAGACTCTAATACGAAGGTGATGTCAGAAAGTTCCTTGACTAGATCAAAAAGAAATGCTGGCCTAACTTAATTTTGGCTGTCATCTCCTTCAAACTTGTCTCCTTGGAAACATATACAGCAATCCCATCATTTATTCTCCTATGAAATGGGAGGGGGGTCCTTAATGGATAAACAGGAAGGAATGTAATTAGAACTTAAGTTTCTTGCACAAGTTGCAATTCACTTTCGCACTGTTAGAAGAGAAGCAACTCTGCTGGTTTTGCCATATTGAACAAATGGTTGGAACAAGGATATCAGGACATGAAGAAATTAAATTTAAAGGAAAGAGGTCTATAGGGCACTCCATATATGATAGTTAAGCCAAGTAAGAGCGGCCTCCGTAGTCTAGAGGTAATGTTCCCACCTCATGACTCGTAGTACGCGGGTTCAATACCCGGCGGAGGTCGTCGAATTTTTAAGGGCGGAAAAATTCAGGGAACAAGTCCTCCGGGAGGGGCTTTAAGCCGTGGGTCCCGTGTCGTAGCTTTACGGCACGTAAAAGAACCTCATCTCCAAAGGAGGTCACTGAGCCAAATTTACGGACGTTTCCCACCCAACAACAGTCTCTAATACCTCTGGTAGATGGGGGAAGCATTATAGATACCTCTCAGCTAGTAGAGCCGGTCTCGCTGGCTGGGCGGGACTGATGGTAAGCACCAGTACTGGTAGGATATAGAGACTGGTAGAAATCATAGAGGGAAGCACAATGGACCAATACAGGTCTAAGCGCATGGGGAAACCCACCCTCTCCAATAACTAACTAACTAAGCCAAGTAATGTCAGATAGGAAGAGCTAGCAAGAAAACAAGAAGGATTGTGGATAGGTGGAAGAGACCGAGACTTTTTGTCCATTGGCTCGTGTAAATTGGAAACAGTGGAAGAGGAGGAATACAGAAACACATGGTGTCACCACTTGAGCAGTTGTAACCCTTTACATTTCTGAAGAAGAAGAGCTTTCACAATACTTGGTGTATTTGTAGGAGACAACATATGCACTCCTATCTTGAGGTTGATATAGCTGATTGGGAAGAAGGTTAATAGTCCTCTGCATTACAACTGTTAAATATGTATCATGTACTTGATCCATAAATTTAGTTAAGCATTTCATGACTTCATTTACAAAGATCTTGATTTCTTTATCATTGAGCATCTGTTTTGTATTCATCAGAGTACTGGTTTTCATTAAGAATGTGGTAATATTTTTAAGTAGTGTATTCTAGTAACCTCCTTTAGTTGTATGAGATATAAGCTTTAATTTTTTTCAGATGTAGAATCATTGTTTTCTAAAATAATGCCTTACATGTTGCAAGACAGTAAGAACAATTTAAAAGTAATATCTCTTAGTCTTGTAAAATTCTGCATGTAAGAAATCAGATGAACTGAATAATTTTGGGGGATAAATGAATATTCAATAGTCTTATTATTCACATGTAGATTGGAGTGATGCCCATTACATCAGTTTCAGTAATGTTTCTTCGTGGTATTTTACAGGGATTGAAAGTAGGCAGTACATCTTCTTATGCTGTTGCAACTTTCAATGTTATTGTTGTATTGCTTTCCATGCTGGCCTACTTCCCAGTCAAAAACTGCTCTGTTGTGATTAGTCCAGCAGTAAAATGACAAGAAGCATGACCAGTTGACTGTAGACTGTTAAGTGTTTGATGTTAATACAGAGTGATTCAGAAAGATGGACACAATTTCAATTGACTATATTTCCTGAACTGTATGTTGCATTTGAATTCTGTAAAGTACATTTGAAAGAGGATGTTACAAAGTCTCTAGTACTACCGCTAGTGCCCTCCATCACTGCATCCCGGGCCGATCGCGTGTATCGGAGGAGAACGTGGAGTGCATTCGAGTGAACTTTGAGCGCAGCCCAATGAAGTCAACCCGTAGTGCTAGTAGAGAACTTGGACTATTGCAAACAACTGTGTGGCGTGTACCACCTCTTCCCACAAATTTGAATGACCTAAGAAACTGTATCACAGCTGCGGTGAACTCAGTGACGCAAGATATTTGTCATTGAGTGTAGGATGAATTCAGCTACCGTCTAGATGTTATCCGTGCAGCCTGAGGGGGGGGGGGACATTGAGCATCTATAAACTTCCATGTATGTATAATCAAGTGTAATTTACAGAATTCAAATGCAACATAATTCAGGAAATATAGCCAATTGAAATTGTGTCCATCTTTGTGAATCACCCTGTATTGTGACATGTAGACCCATTGATGGGCAATGACTGTGAAATAAGCAACAGTAAGGAACAGCGTTTTCTGTGCAGTCCATGTTAAGATGAGCGTGACAAGTTGGAAGCTGCAATCAGTTGAGTTGAGTGGAGTGGAGTTAGTCAAGGGTTGCTTCAGGTGAGGTCGGATACGGTTCAGGAACCCAGAGTAAGGGGAACATCTGCCTTTGGAAGCCGCTGTCTAGCAATGGCTACAAAGACTGAGAAGACTTCAAGTGTCCTGGAGTGTGTAATTCAGTGAGACTGTTGTAGTTATTTATAGTTACATTCTGTAAGAGTTCAGTAAATCCAATTACCAATCGAAACCCCGTATGTAGTTACTAATAATGTAACAATATTATTTTCAGGCTTGAATGCAGCATCAGTAATGTGGATTATCCGTTATTTTTAGTTATCCCACTTTTCCTCTCCATTACTCTGAATAATCATGAATTCATTTTAATTTCAAATCTTATGTGAAACACATGTCCTCATTTTAAGAAAATAATTTTAAATTAAATGTGCCTTATTAGAAAGATCTGGAAATACTGATTTAAAATTTATGCCTGGTTTTGTCCCATTTCAGGAAAGTGGAGCTCCTGTGTTAACAGATGATGTCAGCTTGCAGGTTTTTATGGAACATCTGAGGAAGCTAGCTGTCTCTTCAACTGCATAGATTTTATGAACTTCAATGTAAATGGTGTAGTTCCCTGTGGTTATCAGCCCATATGCCCTTGATATTTACTCTTAATTTTGTGCATTTATTTTGTGTGTAACAGATCTTCAACCATCACACAGTTCACTGTTTCATTTGGAATGTAATGTTAACTGCACTTTCAATTTCTTTTTTAAATGGAGCTGTAATAAATTCCCCCTTTAATTAATTATTCTGTCATCATCTTTAAATGTATAAAGAATCTGTTATTGGAATACAGTTACCATAGTAAAGTTTAATGTGGGTAGAAAAATAAAAGCATACATGTATAACATATGCTTAGCATATTGTGTGATGGTGTTAAGCAGTACCTGCAGCTTCATTGCATTCAATCACTAATGGGATGAAAACATTTACTTCCTGAATTGTGCATGCTTGCTTATACTTTTGCAAACTTTAATTTTCAGTAATTGGTGTAATTAGTACTGTTATACAAATATATTATATAAATAAATGAAATATCTCCATAGTGAATTTAATTTATGAGGGCAGATCTTAAAACTCCAGGGCATTCTCATTTATCTCTTTCAGAAGAAACTAAAAGTTACGTGGTGCAATCCAAAAGTTCCCAAAATCTATATAAGTAAAAATGTAAATGTTTGTTTGTCTCTCCTCAAAGATCTCCGAAAGTTCTTCACCGATTGCTTTGAAATTTTGCCACAACGTTGCATTCGAACACGCACGTTTTTATATACCTATTATATAGATGTCATGCCCGTGACAGGTAAAAAAATGTTATACATCCATCGAATACCAACAGATCGTTGCCTAGGAATAACCGTGGCAACGAACTGTTGAAACAGCGGATCGCTGCCTAGGAATAACCATGGCAACGAAATTTTCGTTTTGATTTTATTATTTCGTGTTACATTGCATTGGAATTGGGCTGAGTCGTTTACCGTAGCGTTCATTTCGTGAGTATACTTTATTTTTTGTTGTTTTTCATTTCGTTTTCTTAACTGTTTCCCCTATTTTCCGGTGCAATTGGCGGTGGGATTAGGCTGTGTCGATTGATCTGTGTTTGAATTGAAATATTTTGTCAGTATTTTTTATTTTTTTTTTGTTTCTTCTTTGTTGTCCAGTTCGTGTTCTTTCCTTTTTTAATGTTTTGCAATTTCATATGTTTTTGTTATAACTTTGTTGCATAGGATAATAGGGTCTGTTGCGTAACAACGGATGAAACCAGAAAGTATAGTTCCATGGAAACGCGAGTATCACGGGGTCACGAGTATCACAAGAGATTCCGAGTGAAATCAAAGCAGAAACAGTTTCGATTTATTTTCATTTTGATTTAATTATTTCGTGTTACATTGCGTTGGAATTGGGCTGTGTCATTTACCATAGCGTTCATTTCGTGAGTATAGTTTATTTTTCATTGTTCTTCATTTCGTTTTCTTTACTGTTTCCCTTATTTTCCGGTGCAATTGGTGGTGGGATTGGGCTGTGTCAATTGATCTGCGTTTGAATTGAAATATTTCATCGGTATTTTTTTTTTGTTTCTTCTTTGTTTTCCAGTTCGTGTTTTTCCTTTTTTAATGTTTTGCAATTATTTATGTGTTTAAGATAAGACATTGTATAAATATCTATATATATGCAATAACTTCCTTTTTTCTTCTTCGGTGCAATCGATCTGCTTTAGTTCATCCAAATAATGCTTGCAGAAGATCAAACTTAGGTCATCGTACTCGCAGAGTGGAAACAATGCGTCGAGTAATTTCAAATCAAACTGGGAAAGAACGGGCACACTGAGCCACAGCAAGGCATGGCCGGGCACAGCTAGTATATTAATAAAAACTGTTACATCTTACCTAGATCTTGTCTGCACCATCACCTTCAAAGTAGTCCCCTTGGGAGCGCATACACCAATCCCAGCATTTCTGCCACTTTTCAAATGCATCCTGGAAGTCTTTCTTTCTTAGGGTGTTTAGTACTGTCTCCGTTTCCGCTTGAATTTCCTCAACTGTCTCAAATCTTCGCCCCTTCAACTTGATTTTCATCTTGGGGAAGAGAAAGAAGTCGCATGGAGCTAAGTCTGGCGAGTATGGTGGGTGGGGAACAACTGCCATATTGTTTTTAGCCAAAAATTCCTGCACAGTGTAATCCGTATGTGGTTGTGCGTTGTCATGGTGGAGTACCCAGTCGTTCGTGCGCCACTTCTCTGGACGTTTTCTCCTCATGTTCTCCCTCAAATGCCTTAGAACATCGCAACATAACTCTTTATTGACTGACTGACCAGGAGGGACGAACTCCTTATGAACAATCCCATCAATATCAAAAAAACAGATCAACATGGACTTAATGTTGCTCTTGACTTGTCGAGCTTTTTTTGGCCGAGGTGAAGAAGGGCTCTTCCGTTGCGATGATTGCTGCTTGCTTTCAGGGTCGTAGCCATAAACGCAACTTTCGTCACCAGTGACAACCTTCGAAAGAAAGTCTGGATCCTCTTGAAGCTGTTGCTGAAGTTCCCTGCAGACTTCCAAGCGATGCTGCTTCTGTTCATTTTGCAGCAGTTGTGGCACAAACTTCGCTGCAATCCTCCTCATGTTCAGTTCCTCTGACAAAATTCGTTGACATGTACCGTAACTTAGTCCCAAGGTGTTACAGAGGTCTTGGATGGTCACACTACGATCTTGCATAATCAGATCCCTAACTTTCACGACATTTTCTGGTGTTTTGCCCGTTGACAGCCCTCCCGAACGATCGTCATCATCGGTCAATGTTCGGCCATTTTTAAAACGCTTATACCAGTTGTAAGTTTGTGTCTGGCCTAAACTGTTTTCACCAAAAGCTTGCTTCAACATTTGGTGCATTTCTGCAGCAGTTTTCCCCAAGTTTGAAACAAAACTTTATACAGACACACTGCTCTCTCAGGTCAGCCATCGCAAAACCGCAAACTCACGGAAACACAACAATGGAAATATGTTCACCAACAATAAACCCAACCACTCAACTCGACGCCGCTTGCCACACTGATTCAAGAAGGATGTGTGAGGAGACACCTAGCGGTATTTCGATGTACTAATAACCATTCGCGCGCAAAATTCAAATTTCGGAAACTTTTGGATTGCCCCACGTATATATATATATATATATATTTTTATCATCTTCAGAACAGGATCCTGCTGCTTGAACTAATGATTCCAGTGGTCCTGCCACTTTTAGAGTGTTAAAACGCCTATGTATAACAGTCTGTCAGTAATGCAACAACTGTTCTTTTTTCCTCCACTTATGCTAGTACTTAAATACAACATGTTTTGGCCTTAGATGGCCATCTTCAGGTGTCTTAATATATATAAAAACTGCTACACTGCATTAATATGCAGTAAAACGACATACTGTAGTGCACTTAATAAAATAAAATCTATTAAAATTTTCATCACTCTGGTAAAATTTGATTCCACCTCACAAGGGGAGTCGTCCCTTTGTTTGGAACTACGTTTCTCTCCATGTGTTTTTTGCAGCAGCTCGTTTTTATGTTCATTAGGCCGTTCTGTTACATCTGCAATAGCTCCTTGTCTGTGTGCTGTTCCCTCTAGCAGAGTGTGGCATTGTCTTCACTAGTGCATATTGCATAGTCTATTTACAAATGCCCGACTTTCTCTGGTGCATTCTGCGATACCGTTCCAATTGGCATAGGGCAAGTGTAAATCTCCTCCAGTGGTGCTACACTTTGCAGAATTTCCTAAATCAGTTCGGGCTGACAATCTGCCTATAACTTGCATGCCTTCATTCGGAGCTCTGCTTACAATTTCCCATGTAAATTTAGGGTTCCTGTCTTTCATTTCAACTGCTATCATCTCAAAATCCTTGTCCACCCATAGTTCCGCACACACAATGTACTTTTTTATACAAATGAACACTCCACAACCTCGATTATTCCTGTCTCTCCTGAAAGTTGTGTAATAGTACCTAAATACTTCAGCATTGCCAATTTCCTCTCTAAGCCATGATTATGTACCTATTATAACATCAGGATTATATGTCAACTAAATTCCAAAAATCTAAAGTTTGTTAAGGATACCCCTGAAATTTACCTGCAGCAAAACCAGCAAATTACCCTCTATCCTATGTGCCCCTCTCATGGCTACCTCTTCTGTCTTCCTCCTTATCTGCCAGACTAGTGTAGACTTGGGTAGCCATCTTCCGCATCCTTTCAGTCATTCCCTCGCTGTTAGTACACAGCAGTAGTCACTTCATCAAATTTTGTCTTCCGCCGCCAAAGCCGCAAACTCTAGAATACAGCTGGCGTAGTCTTCTCGCCCCACTCCAGTTTATATGCAGTCCATCCCTCCCAAAGTTCCAGTTCTCAATCCAACTATTCAGATCTACAAATGTAATACCCAGTGTCTTCGCTATCCAGTCGTATCTGCTGTTTAATGCTCCGATCTGCTGCCATGACACATCTCTGCACTGAAGTATGCCACTCAGAACTAATCTGGATTGAGGAAACTTAGTTTTTGCCATATTCACTAGAGCATACACATCACCCATCACATAATCAAGATTTGCAGTTCATCTTAAATCATTAGTACCTACATGAATCACAACAGTATCAGGGGTCCCTAGATCTCTGTTTTCCATTACTCTTTGCAGTTTTTCAGTTCTAATTCCAGGAAAGCACTGTACCCTCACATGTTCAGATTCCACATTTCATATAATCAAGTCACCCAACACTAAGTACTCTGCACTTTCTGGTTGTCACCCCACCATTATCACGCCTGCCGACGTCGCAACTGCTCTTCCACCCCTTGTTCCGTTTTAGTTCTTCATTCTGTTGCAGAGCGTTTTCCAGCTTCTCCTCTAGCTGACAAAGCCTGTCCCATCTGCACTTATCACAGATCCACTTTCCACTGTCAGCCATATGAGCCTTCATGTTTCCACAGCTGTTGTAAAACCATCGTCCACATGTCGCATTGTGTTCCAGATTTTAAGTTTCTCTCACACCCACTATACAGTTCTTGGAGACTGTTCTCAAGCTCCACACCAGGTCCAGGATTTTGCTTCAAAGTCCTCGCAACCCAGGTACCCATGCAGGCTCGGTAATCCTTCAGGTAAGCAACCCATTAATAGAACACTGTATGTGATCTAGCATCAGCATCTAAGCTGCTGAACAGAGTTTCTTAAAATTCAACATGATTTTACTAAAAGATGTCAGGTGGTTCCACTTTCATCCATAATGATCCAAAATCTCATTTATGTAAGGCCATAAATAGATTTTTCTGTCAAATCTATAAACCCTTTCATAGATTGTTGAAATTTGATGTGGGAAGCTCATTCCAAAAGTTGTCAGGCAAAATCCCTATTGATCTACATACATAATAAAGCCCATTTTGCATAAGACCATACATGAAATTCCCCTCAGACCAGTATGACTCTTAATAGATTTTATTGAAATCAGATAAGGAAGACTGACTAATTCTACTTTCATCGTTCCAATTTTTAAGCAGGCTTAATAAGTTCAAAGAAAGTCATTCATAATTGTGGAGGACACCATTACCACAGGCATATTTATGGCTCCTGAAAAATGGGTGGCCCAGTAATTTTAAGCCTACTGATAATGGACTTCACAGTTCATTAGTGAACACTTAGGCTGCTCCTGCATATCTGAAGTGAAGCCAAGTTCTGTTTGCACCTTAAGGCTCTTCTAGTGGGCAGTATATTAACACATTAAGGACCGGCGATTAAAATATTTAAATCACCCTGGGGCCGCCATTATTAAACTTACTATCCTAACTTGTGCATTGTTCACTTTAAAAATTAATATAAAATCTCCTAATTAATTTTATGAACTAAAATTTTTGTAGAACACTTACCAGTGCTCCTAGAAGTGCTTGAGGGTGTGATATTTCTGGAAAAAATTCCCCTTTGTGAAGTGGCATTACATAGAACTTGCAAATGTAGACATATTCCTTTTTTTTGTGAACTGTGCAAACACAGCATTGCCTAGAAGGATGCTTCCCCTTGGAATGTTCACTCTTCACAATTTTCACAAGGGTATGTTTCTGCATATCACCCGAGAGTTGCCCTGGGGGGTCCACATGAGGCCTGGTGTGGGAGTTGATGGGCACAGTCGCACTAAGTCTGTGTCTGACTCTGGTTCTGCCGCCACCATCTGGTCTGTAGCCCAGGCCTTTGCCATATTCATCAGAAATGCTTGTATTTCAATTTGGAGTCAGGGTTTAGATTTTTGTGATTTTTTTAGATTTTTTACTGTCCCCGAAATGTTATTACCCCCATTATCGTTGGAGCTACTGTCACTTTTACTGTCTGTGACCACAATTCTTTGTTCTCCCCTGTCACTGCCACTCTCTGAATCACCATGACTATGTGTCTCACAAGTCAGGTCAGCTAGCTCATCGGAGAAGAATTTGTCCTTGTCCATACCCCACCACTAACTACTGGCTGATACATACAGCTCAAAGAGCATCAAAGTATTTTCATTTATAGTGGGTTAAGAACACAGCGAGGTCAAGTTACTGACAAGTAAGCAAACATTCCAGAGTTTTATTATGCCAGTGTGTGCAACTTGGGTGGCGCCAGAGCAAGGTTAGTGTGTTACAACCTAACATGTCCTAAATCATGATATCATGTGACCGGTCCTCAATGTGTTAAGAAAGTACACTGAAGACACTAAATGGGCTGCAGTAGGAAATAAGATGCTTACCTTGATAGCCCACAGTAAAAAGATGATTCAGAGGAAAATGTTGCATAAAAGGAGATACTTGCAGAGATGTTCAAAAGCACACTCAAACTTGTGAAAGACCAAATTGGTTCAGAAGTTATGAGGTGTATATGGATTGCATAATCTGCCCATTCGGCTTTTTTTAATAGTTCCTGCTCTTAGATTTTCATGGCCAATGTAATGCATTATTCCAGCTTTAGGGGATAATCTCTGAACACAGCAACTGTAATGTCTGCTGAAACATTGCAAAACCAACAATGTACTCCTTTCCAGAAGCCATTCACTTCAAGTAAAATAACGCTATTTATTCTTATATTACAATATTGAATATAGTACAGTATTTGCAACTAATTGCAAAATTATAGGTACAATTATGTTACCCTGCACAATCAAAAATATAATATATATAATTCAATACAACGTTGAAATGATATTCAAGAACCTCCCACCCTAACAGACTAATGTACAACCATTTGATTGTATCCTTGTACTCATTCCAAAGGAAATGGCCCTTCTATAATCACAATTCATTTATAAACATATATGTATATCTCAGTTAAGAAATCGGATAGACATCTTTTGCTCAACATCGGTCCTCTCTAATGCATTACAAAATTCCTCAAAAGAAATCATTTGATCACCATTCTGATCTGCTTCTAAGATTGTACGCTCAGCAATGCTTGTCAGCTGTTCCTCACTGGAAAAGGGAAAATAAAACATCAAAATATTGTAAAGCGCGCACACATATATATATATATATACATACATACACACAGAGCCATTTTTGTCTTAGTCGTAGGGCTGACAACCTTACCGCCATCTATGAGCCAATTGTCTAGAAGATGTGGGAACCTAAACATCTCACAATCCTATGGGCCTCCACAGCCTGTTACAGGGATAGCTTTACTTTTTATTTTATTAGTTTTGTCTTGGTCTGTTACCTACCTGATATTAGCTCCAACCATCATGTGAAGAATAGCTAAAAGTTCATCTTTGGAAATCTTATCATCATTATCCAAATCATACATCTTGAATGCAACTGAAAATAGAAAACAAACTATTTTTTAAGATTTGAGGCTTTCACGGCGGTGACTATGAAGAAAGCAGTCTTCTGGGATTTGGCACCGTGTATATGTGGTGTTAACCGACGTTTCGGAGGAACGTATCGCCTCCATCTTCAGGGTAGAAGAAAAAAATAAGAAATCTGCAAGCGAAGAGACCGTGAGAACCGGTAAAAGCAGATGGAGGCGATACGTTCCTCCAAAACGTCGGTTAACACCACATATACACAGTGCCAAATCCCAGAAGACTGCTTTCTTCAAACTATTTTTTCCCCTCATTTCTAAAGCTGAGTAGGATTTTTTCCAACTACTATTTAATTCAACTTAAATAACATACAATTCAGCTACTGCCTGCACTGTGGTTACCAGGTTCTAGCCACAGCCCCCCCTCCCTCCAAAGGTGCAAAAATGTACAGTCCCTCTTGTTTTCCAGATGCTAGATTAGGAAAAAAGAGATCTCCTTTTACCAGGTAAATACGATACAAGGGCAATTACAGTCAAAACTGCAGAAGTTGTATAAAAGATATGACTAGAACTTCCATGGAAGTTGAATCCAATGAAGTCATCTTGAGCAATCAGCCATATCAGTATGGAGTAAACTGGAGGCTACATCTGACCCATCACTGGTGCTGGAAATTCATTCCATACCGGTAAGACTTAATTATCCAAGACTTCATTAAATAAAGCCTGTTTCAACTACACTAAAACACAGATCAGTCTACAGTATAGCCCTCACTGTTCTACACAAATATACAGTATTTATTTTAAGACCAATTATACAATTCACGTCCTTACATGTTCTTACTTCGCATTATATATTTTTACCCATTCTGTGCCATCTTCAGATGGTAACCATGTTTCTTTCTATTACCACCTTGAAACATAATTCTCTTCCCACCTCAGGTTGTGAAAATGGTTTCTACATTGGAGAAAGAATCATGTCATTCAGTATTTGACAGCAAATTCTGTTAAAAGCATGCAACAGGGCCCTTGTAAATGTTACCAGAAGGATCCACCACAATAAAGTCAATCTTTACTTGGTGTAAGCAGTTTGAAACCAAAAGGTATATTTGCAAGAGAAACAGATCCAGTAATCCCCGTGTTCCTGAAGAAATTGTGCAGCATGCAAAGGAAAGCTTTTGACACAGCCTGTGAAGTCACATGTGCTTCAAACAACCATCAGGCTGTATTCTGTGGAAGCATTTGCTTAAGAAAGCTTACAAGCAGTAGTTCACAATGCTGAATGGGACACAGAACCAAAGAAGATGAAATGTGCTGCTCCTGGTCCCCCCAGGTTGCTAGATTCTGAAACATGACTTCTCTCTGTAAGCTTACATGAAGAACACTGTGTTTGTACCAGCACTGCAAACAAATATTCCAGATCACTGAAGCAATGGCATCAATTACCAGGCATTGGTAGAGGTCTGGGAAGAACTGAAGGATCTGAGTCATGTCTGCCATGCGGCTTGGGCTCATGCAGAACCTCTGTGAGGTCTGAAAGACACTTGGAGAGGATGCCTCTAGTCTTTGTGTTACATGAACATTATGTAGAGAGTTTAATATTGGTGGTATCTTAAAGTGTTCTGATTTACCCTATACACCCAGTCCCCTACTAAAATGAGACACATTCTTGAAACATTTCATGTAAGGTGAAATTGAGTTAGTCAAACATTAATTTCCCATATGAAATACTGTAATGGATAAGTCTTGGAGAAATCACTTTAAATCACAACTCAGTCATTCACTCATCAGTAATCTGTCAAGACGACAGGTCTACAGTCTCTTCCAAAACAGTTCCTCCACTTAACGCGATCTACAGCTTTCTCCTTCAAATGAGAATATCCTCTTCTGTCCCCAAGGTCATCCAGCATCTTCTTACGTCTTCTTCCTCATCTTCTGGTCATTTCTATCCGCCCCTCTATCTTTCCTTCAATAACTTCTTTTAGAAGGCAGTTACTGCGTAAGATATGACCAATCCAATTAGCCTTCCGTTTTCTTATTTCGTGTAGGATATTCCTCTGCTCACTGACTCTAAATAACACTTTCTTCATTTCTCACATAATTGGTCCAACTGATCTTCTCCATCCTTCTCCAACACCACATTTTGAAGCTTTCCAGGTGTTTCTGATCTACTGCCCTAAGTGTCCAAGTTTCAGCCCCATACAAAGTCATATTAGTCAAAATTAAAACTAAAAAAAACTGTGTTACACCAAATTTATGTTGGTAAAACTCATGTTAATCAGGAACTGAATGTATTTAGTATCAAGGTTACTATTAATTAAAATGCATCAATATATCTTCTTCTCTGGCCTCCCTCACTATTCCTGCCCATTTTTGTCTTTGTTCACTGCCTTGCTCCCATATTTCTTAAATCATTTGCATCACCATCCAGCCAGTCTCCCAATGCCTCTTTTCCCTCAAGTCTGCCATCCAGGATTTTTTGTGGTACCCTGCTGCTTTCCATTCCGTTCTTCTAGATTTGATCTCAGCCATAATGTCTGGTCTATTATATACATTTTCTAGTTCTGTATTAGATCTTATTCACCATGTACCATTTACATATACAGGGCTACATATCCTTTGCAAAATTTTCCTTCCCCAGGACATGAGGGTTGTTGTCGATTTCTCTGTAAGTGTCCAGGTTTCACTATCAAAAAAGGACAGCAGGTTGAATTATTGTTTTTAAATAATTTATTTTGATTTTCCTGGATTTTCTGAGGATGCTTCCAAGGGCACAAAAACATATGTTGCCTACAGAAATGTTTTCCTTTATATATACAGCTGAGTCACTGCTACTTGTTACGAGAGATCTGAGGTATTTGAAAGATGAGACCTCTTCGAAGCTTTTCTTGCCTACTGCAATGCCAGTTTTTGCCATTCCACTCCTTCCACAACCTTGCACGACTTGATTTTCTCAGTATTGATTATTAACCCAGTATATGATGATGTTCCCTTCATTTGTTCAAGGACTTCATTTAAAGCATTTGTTTTGTGGGTAAGAATGGCTATATCATCCACATATGCCAATATCTGCTGTGTTCTATTGAAAATTCTGCCACCTGGGTTCACATCTATTTCTCTAAGAACTTTTTTCCGAAGTGATGTTAAAGAAGACAGTGGAGAGGGAGCCTCCCTGTCTCATTCCTGTTTTAGACATAAAGCTGTATGAGAGTTTGTTTTGAATTTTAACTTTGTTCTACATCATTTCAAGGATCATTTTTGTGAAACTAGTTTAGATGGAATTCCAAATTCAGCCATAGCTTCATAAATAAACTGTCTATTAATATTATTGAAAGTTTGTCTGAGTCTATATACAGCTCGTGGAAATTTATATTTTGCTTATAGCATTTTTCAAGGACTTGCCGTATTGTGAAGATGTGATCCGTTGTGGAATGTCCTTTGCAAAAGCCACACTGGTATTCACTTAGTATGTTCTCAACAAAGGGTTCAATATACTTGGCAAGAATGGTGGTGAAAATCTTATAGGTAACATTTAGAACAGATATGCCTCTATAGTTGTTGCATATTAACTTGCTACCCATCTTATGTATAGGACAGGTAATTGCTGTTCTCTAATCTTCAGGAAAGTCATCAGTGTTCCAGATTATTTGGATCAACCCATAAATTTCTTTCCACAATCTGTCCTCCACTCTTAATCAAATAGGTGCTAACACCATCTTCATATGGGGCTTATTTTCAAGGTTTCTGATCACATCATACACCATCTTAGCTGTCACTTCTGACATTTCTAGCTCTAGGATATAATAAATGTTACCACTGGCTTCTTAGTTTCTAACTGCATTAAAGTTCAGGTGGCATCAATATATAAAAACTCGTAATCATAGCACAATATGGTTGCTCCTCCTCTTAAGTTGGATATTTAACAATCTCTCAGTATCAAGACTATGTAGTGCTGAATGACAGGATTATTAACAAATGTGGAACTGTTGTTGTAATGATAATTGGTAGGAGAAATGAAGTAGCCAGAGGGAACCGATCAATTTACTACCATAAATTTCAAACGACACGACCTGGGATTCAGCCCAGGACCTCTCAGCACACAAAGGATCCAGTGGTGAGGTAGATTCTCAGGTTTTTAGATTTTTGTGTCATTGACTATCTTATACACTCAAGATTTTTCTAAGTATATTTATGAACCAGAATCATAGATTTCTTTACCCTGAAGGCAGACTATTAAAAATTTAAAATTTGAGACCTACATTACTGAGCAGTGTGTGTGTGTGTGTGTGTGTGCGTGCGCGTGAGAGAGAGTGAGTGAGTGAGTGCGCGTGTGTGTGTGTGTGTGTGTCACTAAAAATTATTAAATATGCACACACTTCAATAATGTAGTTTTCTGTATTTCTCCACTATTCCTGCAACACAGGAGTCACCATATTTTAAGACTGTATCCCATCTATAATTATGAACTTTCACCTCTGATCTGTTCATGACTGAATCAATGTTACGTTGGCCCAATAATGTAGGAATCACTTCATATACTTTCCATCTGCAGATATAAAATTAACGCATTTCTGAAATGCTGTGTTTATTAAAATTATTTATTAATACAAAAGTCTAAATAGCCTCAGAGAATGTTTACTGTTTCTCACATTACTGGCATTTACGAGGGTTGGAACTTTAATAGTGGCAACTATTTATTTACAACTGATACAAAATAGATGCATGTTTCGAAGTTTTACTGTCCTTCAATGTAGTCACCAGCATTGTGTACAACCCGTTGCCAGCAATGTGGAAGTCATAGGATACCTTTAGCAGCTCCTGTTGTGTTGATAGTTCGAATGGAGCGGTCTACTGCATGAAAAATCTCTGGAACAGTTCTGAAGCGAATACCATGAAGTGGTTCATTCATCTTAGGAATCAAGTCAAAGTCACAAGGGCTTAAGTCCAGGGAGTATGGTGGATGGTACAGCACTTCCCAGCCCCATCGACTGAATAAATCAGCCACAGCTTGCACTGCATGCGGCTGAGCACTGTCCTGCAAAATGAGGGGTGGGTTCTGCAGAAAGTGTTGCCACTTCTTTCTCAAAGTTGGTCGTAGATTGTGTTCCAAAAATGAACAGTAGTCTCAGCCAGCATAAGAAAGCCTGTCCTTTGTGCTCATAGCGCTCCAAGTGATTACGAGCAGCATTGTATGGTAGCCATTTCTGCATTTCCGTCAAATCATGTGGAACCCATCGTGATGCAATTTTTCTCATGCCCAGGCATTCCTTCGGAATGTGAAGCACAGTCGTATGCACTAATCCTGTCTCTCAGGCCAGCTCACGAATCGTATGGCGTCAATCACTCTCCAGTAACGCAGAAAGAGCATACACTTCTTCTTCACTGACACTAGGACAACCTGGCCGATGCATGTCTGCCAAGTTTTGGCATCCCTCGTTGGAGGCTTTTACCCACCTTGCCACTGTTCTGTAAGGCAATGGAAATTCCCCGCAAGCCTCTTGAAGATCTTGATGACAGTGTCATGCTGTACCGCCTCTGGCACATTCAGTCTTATCCAACTCCTTTGTTCCTATTTAAAAAACATTCTGACAACACTACATTAGACCGCCAGCTAACACGAGGCTCTGTTCTTCTTGTCACTGCACATGCACATGATGTGGGAAGGGAGAGTCCATTTGCTCTGAGGTAAGGTAGGTATGTAACTAATGTGTGGTATAAGTGACATTATTTTGTTCCATTGCATGGTGTCTCTACAGGATTGTTGCCACTATTAAAGTTCCAACTCTCGTAATATTGATACGAGACGTAATAATTTTCAAGTATATTTCACAAGTTACACCATAACTTCAGATGAGATTCTAGATCCGTACTGATTTATTTATAAAATACCATCCAAGAATATTTCACAACTGTATATTCATATAAAGTCAAACTTCAAATTTTAAGAATACTTTAATTTCAAGTTCAGTATTTGCCAGTTATTACATATGAATATGAAACATGTGTTATTACTTTGAGGGAAGGAAAACTGTAACTTAGAAAAGTTTTAAAATAAAGTGCTCCAGAAAATATTTGAACCTAAGAAGGATGAAGAAAGCAGACTATTTAGGATATGCTCTAACAAAGGTCTTCATGACTTCAACAGGTGAAATGAAAAGTATATGGTCACTCCCATGTCCAGTCAACACAGTTTAGCGACAAAATCTTCATGGCCATCTCTGATTCTAATAACATTTGCAAGCTTTTTGGGTTTCTTTAGGAAGTGGCATGTATGAAATTTTACCTTCCTGTGTCCATTGATTTCAGAGATACACCACTCTGAACCTTCATTAGTTTTCCATAGATTTTCCCTTGTTCTGATTCACCAACATTCTTGTAACTCTGGGCCTAATATAATAAGGAGCTTACTCTTATACTAATTGAAAGCTGTTAAATTGCACTTTTATTTGATATGCTACTGAAAATATTTTGAATCACCTCTAACACTTTGACCTAGACTTTTGACCCAATTTATAAAAACCGCATACACAACTGTTGATATTATTTCAATAAACTTTGGGAAGTAACATGTTGGGAGATGAAAGTGATGAGATGTCTGTCAGGAGTATAATTCGGCATGATGACTCGTGTTGTGACCTGTACAGACATGCTGCAGGGCATCATGATTCCTCCAGTCTTTCAGTTCATACCCAATGGCAGTTGAATTAAATTGTATTTCCTTGTGTGGCAAATTGCGTAGTGGCTTTATCAAGGGTGTTTATTAATTTTCCAAGTTTAAAATGGCTGCAAGTGCCATATGTGTCGGAGAACATCATGTTTTAAAAAATAACTGAAAATTCCAAGAAAAACAAAAGGATCCTGGTATTTGGAAAGGGCAAAGAATCTGTGATAAATATCACTAAAAATTTTCCCAAGATCTATAAATGAGGCTCAGAACGTGACAAACAAAGTGGAATACTTGAACAGTTTTAAAACTTAGCCAATTCACATTGTTTCATCCTAGAATAAGACTCTGGGATCGTTAGAAGTCACCACTTTGTAATAACAGGAAACATATCAACAACCTCTGCTATTATACAGATAATTTTTGTATGGACATTAAGTGTCACCTCTTTGCAACATTACATGACAAAGGTGCATGTGATGGGATTGGGAGGGGGGTAACTCTAAGCCTAGCAAGAAAAGCTAGTCTGCATTTTCCTTATGAGGAGCAGCTCATAACACTAAGGCAGCATCTACAAAAGCGCATAAAATGCGTCCGTTGTAACGAATGTCGTGACATCCGTTGTAGAAATAAACAAGAGAGGCGAATGCTATGCTTTCTTCTGGCTCCACTGCAGACAAAAAACAAGTGTGTGGTGTCCTCAACAAAGTACATTCGTTACAACGGACGCATTTTGTGCGCTTGTGTAGACGCTGCCTAAAACAGCTAGAGTGTACTGTTGTAGACNGGGGGGGGGGGGATCAGGTCAAGATAGTGTCCTGAGTGAGACTGAACTGCACTCTTCCCAATTACAAGTCAGAAGCTTTACTACATGAGCCAACTTGCTCACTCATATTCCATATTATGATAACATATCTACTAGAAATAATAAGCAGCTTGGATCACACAGATATGAGCATGAGACATGTTGCTCAGGTAAACACTATACACATTTCAATCCTGACCCCAAGGGGGCAGATGATTCTAACCCAGACCAGGCATTATATTCTTAGTGTATTACCACACTCACATTTTAATTTCTGTTCTCTTGAATTCAGCTTGTTGTCTCTCCCCTTCTTTATGGGACGAAAGTGGGCCAAGACCTGCATAAACTGCAGAAAGTTGACTCGATCACTGCAACCTTCTTCAAAGAAAGCATGTACAATTCGATCACCCAAAGGATTTATGGCAAGCTCTGGAATGCGTAAGAAGTCTTCACGGCTCAGAGTTCCACAGTCACCACGGTCTAGACTTGTGAATCTACTGTACAGACGTTCTATCTGATTGGGTGTAACTATTGACAAACCAAACACACATTTGCACCTTGGAAAGTAACAAATAATGGCGAGGACAAAAGCAAAAAATGTATTCTAGGTTTAAGTATAAAATTACATCAAAGAAGCATCACCATGTATTTACACTTGAGACCATTCCTTCCATGCAACATGAGTGACATATAAGATATTTTACTTTCAATTTTCATGAGTGATGTGACTGTCCTCACACTAAAGCATATATTGTTTATGAATAATATATTTAATATATGTTTTCCAGGGGGGCATGTAGTAGCGTAGTTGGTTGAGGCACTGTGCTACAAGGCAGAAGGTCACGGTTCGAATCCAGATGAGGTCATTGGATTTTTTAAATTTACCTAATCCTTCCAGCCACACTATAGCCATGGGGTTGACTCAGAAATGAGTACCAGGAATATTCCTGGGAGGGTAAAAGGCTGCCAGTGTGTAAGGCTGACAACCTTAATACCATCTGAGAGCCAGCTGTCTTGACGATGTGGGAACCTCAGCTTCTCACAAGCCTATGGGCCTTCATGGTCTGTTACAGAGACAGTTTTACCTTTTATATGTGTTTTCCAGTTTAAGTTATCATCCCTTTGAAGGCCAAGAAACTTAGCTGTTTCTGCTTCTCCAATTGTTTTATAAACATAATCTATATTAACACAAGTTTTGTTGTTAGTACAAAATTTATGTTCAGTTTACTGGCTTTAAACTATCTGTTTAGGTATTCTGGAAATGAAATAATGCTAGTACCATTAGCAAGGGGATGGGTTTACACTGACGGCTGATGGCTGCAGGAAGATAACTGACATACATATATAAGAAAAAGCATAGGGCCTTTAGAAGTCCATGTTTTATAATTCCCCCAATGTGAGTAGGTTCTATAATTTTGATATGGTAACTTTACTTCTACCTGTTGGTTCCCATCATAAAGGTACAATTTAAACCAACATTAAAGCTTTACTGTGAACTTCAGAGACACTTAATTTTGATAATAGTGTTCCATGATTTAAGCAATCAAATGCTTTACCAAGATCACAAGATATTCCAACATGCATTTCATTATTAAGAGTGTGTAATAACTCTATCTGTAAAATTCAGCAGGGTTTTACCTGTTGACCAATTTTTTTGCTTTTGTGTGTATAATATTTATATTTGGGGATTTTTAGTGCCTGGTTTAGCTAAGTATTTTGCTGCATCTTACTTTAAGTTTTTAGTGTCTTAATTGCCTAAGTTAAAACTTTGCACTGTTCGTGTAGTGTATTTTCATTATTTGGTTGTTACTAGCTGAGCTATTTAAGTAAAGGCTCTCATTTAAGTGTATAAGATGTTTCAGTAGTGCTATCTATTCTTTATTTTCAGACATCTTTTCCTAATTTTTCTGGGGAAACTTGCTTAAAAAATTCTTGAAACTACATGATGGCCAATTAATAATGATTGCTTATTTCCATTATTTAGATCTGTTGTAAACTGTTTAACAGCATCATTGCTTTAAGTCTGATTTGTTTCTTGTAATTATGATAATTTAAAACTGATACTATATTTTTTATAACTAAAAACTGAGCATCATGCAGATAGTCCATTTATCAATGGTTCAATAGAAATATCTTTCCCAGAACTTATATATGAAAATTATCAATGGCAGTACTAGCATAATTCTGAATTTTTATAAGGAAGTTAACTACTGATATAAGATAAAAGGGATTTCAGCAGTGAGTTTCAACATTGTGGTAACTTTCAGTAAGATAATCAGTATTTTTGTCACCACAGATGACAAATTCTGCTTTAAGTTTACACAAATAACTCATGTTTTCTAGTTTGTTTATGAAAAGTTGAAAACCACATGTGTATACTCTTGTGCAACTAGGAGATGAATGTTAAAGAGAACTTCAATTCCTGTTGCACAGTGCAGCATTCTGTGCTCTGGTGCCTTCTTATGGTGTTCAACGTAACAATGAATACAGAATAAAAGTGTATTTTTAATAAATATTAATAACTGATCAATTTTGTCTGAGAGTCCTTTAATGTTCTGATGGTACACCATGAAATTGTTATTTTGATTGTATTCTAAAGTTAGGATCAGCTTATCTCCTATGGCTTGAATATATTTGGTATTTAGTTAACTTTGCATTCTATTAAAGTGTTACTTGAGACATAAAACTTATAACTTCCTGACCGTTTTGTACATATGCCCTTGACCATGGTCTTAGGAACAAAGCATGCTGGGCTAACTGAAGTACAGTCATTAAAACTGTTACATAATCACTATGACTTGCTAAAGTGATAAAGGACATACTAAAAAAGTTCTCAGTTCAATATAAAAAATTAAAAACTGCAGTGGCATGATGGAGTTCTGAATGAAACGAACTCAGTTCAAACTAATTTCTCAGTTAATTCAATCTGTGTACACATTCATCAGGCAATAACCTACATGGGCCATATGCAGGCTTTCATTTCCTTGCCTAAAACTCACTTTTAACCTCACATTATGGATTAATACTGCCATCAATGTCAATAAAACAGGAAGTCTAATACAGTAAATTCTACACATTCATGAACGTTCCTCTTATAACAGCCTGAAACGTTTGAATTTTGCAAACAATTAATCGCTTGTAGGCTAGCCATCATGGCTTCAACTTTTGTTTAAAAACATATAAAAACAATTTCAGGGTCATAAAGAACTTGCTTTACAAATATTCGAATAACTTTTAAAGGAATACATTAGAATAATTATTGCAACCAGTTTCTTCTTGTATTTGAGCAATTTCTTCCCCTTGCAACTGCAATAAAGACCTATTAGCCGTGTCTTAGAATTTTAAATTTATATTTACATAAAGCTATGACGAGAGTAGATCTCAAAGTGTTGTTTCCTTTAATTTATTTATCGAAACTGGTTTTCTTGACTTGTTTTGATCCCTTTTTAGCAATAAAAGTGAATACACACTAATTCGTTGCACGCAATTTTAGGTTTGCTGTCGGTAATAACTGCATATATTTTAATTGCGTCATTCACCGGCATATAAATTTCAATGAGACAAATTAGAGCAATTCTTACAACCAGTTTCTTCTTGAATCTGAGCAATCTCTTCTTCTCGTAGCAGCAAGGAAGACCTGTTACCCATATTCCAGAATTTAAATACTATGAAGTACCAGGTACCATTCACTTGAGTGTACAATCATTCAACGTAACTTAGTTACAGAGCACTGCAAACCCCTAGACACCAGATCACTATGCACACAGAACTACGGACCCTACACGGCAATTATATTACATCTGCTTTCATCCGTTATCAGCGGCGTCAGACTAGTCAGAGTTATCAACTTATCAAATCACCGTGCTATAAACACTGAGCTGTGTGTAGCTACGATGGGCGTCAGTGTTACAAATGTCCCAAGCATAAATTTCCCCAGAAAATCACTAGATACAATTCCCGTCTTTTAGCCTCATCCGAAAACTTTCTCCATATTGTGATTTTCCCATTTTGTGCGAGTACACCACTCAGCAGTATCACTTATAGGAAAAAATCAACACTGCATTCACGGAACTAGATTTTTCGCGAAACAACTCGCTTGCCATTTGAGTTGCGGGTAATCGCTAACAAAGCAACCAAAGAAAGCATTAATATTCTTTATACCAAGCTAGAAGCTTGTTGAATTGAAACGTTACTGCATAAAAATAAGCCCACTCTAAATAATTCAGCGTGATTTAAAATAATCAGAAATACTACCAATCAACGCAAAATTCAGCATTTGCTTTTAACGTGTTACATACATTCTACATGCATAATTTGTTATGTAATTCAATTCCTTAAATTAATTAATTTCAAGTAAGTTTTATTGTTACGTAGGTATGATGTGGGTAGATCTCAAAGTGTACTTCGTTTAATTTTTTTGTTGTTGTCAAAACTTGTTTTCTTCAATGCAGCGTTCTATCTTTTGATGCAAAAGTGAATACGTACATATTGATTCGCTGAACACAATTTTAAGATTGCTTGCAGATGCCTAATGAGAAGATTTTAATTAAATCGCCATTCCCTGCATTTCAAGATTAAATACAAATATGCTGTTGTTAAGAAAAATTAATACTGCTGATTATTGCGCATCTTAAATCACATAAGAAACAGTTCGGACCCTTAAAAACAGAAGTCTCTTTCCTTTAATCATATATCAAGGCCGCGCCATAGCTCAAGCGGTTAGTCGCTGGCTTCCCACTGCGGCGGCCCGGGTTCGATCCCGGGTCTGGTCAAGTGGGATTTGTGGTGGACAAAGTGGCGCTGGGACGGTTTATCTCCGAGTACTTCGGTTTCCCCTGCCAAACTTCATTCCACCAAATTTTCCATCATCATAATCACCCGGGGCAGGCTACAATAGGCCAATCAGTGGCCGCCGTGCCGAGTGGACCCAGTTGGACTCCACCCCCCACAAAGCGAACTAAAAAAAATAATCAGATATCTTATTAAGCCATCAATAATCGTCATCTTTCCGGGACCAATGATACTAGACTTGTCACCGCGTTAATTGGAATCTCCAGAATTTCGACGTGTCGTGAAATAAAAAATAACTAGCTCAAAATTTCTAAAAAACGTGCGATCTAGTAACAGATTCATCTGATTGGCAACCCTGCTATTAGCGTTGAATGGTGTAAAGCGGACCTTACACGATCGGTAACAGTCATTCTCTTCCTTCATTACTCCTTCATTACTTTTCAACCTTACACGATCATTTGATATGACATTATTTGCCTCGGTACCACTCGACTCGTCAAGAGAGGAGCGTATTTATTTTGTGTCAGATTTCTCGAGGATTATAATGGATCCTCGCAGAAAAGCATCTATTGCTATAATTTTAGCATTAGGCACAAAACGAATATTAAGGGCCGACGCTGAATGAAAAACTGGTTACAAAAACGTGAAAAGTATTCCCATGTTGTTCTGCTAAAAGAAACTGGTGCAAGAGAATCAGAAGATTACAGAAACTATTTTCGTATGAGTGAAGGAACATTTGATAAGGTTCTTTGAATGGTCGAACTTTTGTTAATAAGGAAGGACACTAATATGAGGGAGAGTTTACCGGTGAATGAAAGATTTGCAGTGACCCTGTGATACCTGGCAACAGGAAGAAACTTTGACGACCTCAAGTTTTCAGCTGTCATGTCACCTGCTGCAATAAGCGTTGCTGTTGTTGAAACATGTGAAGTGCTTATGTATACGTTCTGCAAGAGTATATATAAGTATAAGACCTCTTTTGTATAATTGTTTCAACTTTATTTTCGTCCATAACTGAAGGGAATACAATTGGACATGTCAAGAAATAATAGCGAATACATCACATGTCAGTCACATAAAATTTACACAGTGATTTATCATTATAATATAACAACCGTTATAAGGAACATAACAATAAAAAATACAGAAGACCAAAAGAAAAATGTCAGTAATATAAAACATGTAAACACAGTATTAAAAATTGCAAACCAAGTAACAATCGACAAGCTAGTCATCAATCCAACATTAGTTTAAAAATTATTGAAGAGAATAAAAAGCGCTGCACAGCAAATAATTTTTAGTTTCCTCTTAAAAACATTAAAATATTTAACGCCTTTCAATTCAAAGGGAAGGCAATTAAATATTTTAGTACCCATACAAATTACACCTCTTTTGTAACGATCGATATTACAAAATTGGACATACAAATTATGTTTATGTATGATATTGTAGCTGTGAATGTCAGAATACTGAGTTGTAAATAACTTGTTCTTTATTATAAAACATAAAATTTCAAATATATATAATGAGGTAATAGTTAAAATCTCAGATTCACCAAACATATTTCTACAGGTTACTATAGTATGAAGTAATCAATTATTATTTTGTATCAATGATTTACTTATTGTATCAGTTAAAATTCGAGTGCAGTAGGGTATGTTTAAAACATATCAACTAGTTAGAAATTATTTATTAGAATACAGTATCTTGAACAATGACACATAAAAATTCTTTTGAAAAGCATGTGACTAACGAAACATGAAACTAGCAATGAAACTGTTACAGAATAACATAAAGGATCATAATTAGGGTTTAAAGTTTGTAAAGAATGTAGGCAATGCATCTTCTTGTTCTTCAGCTGGTGAGGGACAAGAAGAGGTATCCGCAGATGAAGAGGATTGAAGTGATAGGTTTCTTACAGTGATGTGGAAGGAAGTTAGCGACGAAATGATACCGTACACGGGATCCTCGTTGATTTTCACAGAATATCTGTGTAGAGTGCCTTGACTCGCCTCAAAAGTATATCACTAATAGCTTTCTCAGCTAAAGCTCTTTGCTGAGGATCCAGTGTATTGAGTTTCTCACCCCAAGCCTTGGCAATAGTTTGGATATTTTCTTGGAGTTCCCTCGGTTGGTCCAGATATGAACAAGTTTCTGTAGAAGCTTATTTTGTTTCGCAGTTGGTCCAAGTACACATCGTTCCTTGGGTGGTGGTGGTGGTGGTGGTGGTGGTGGTGGTGGTGGAAGAATTAATTATCGTAATGCGGTAGGGGCTGCTGATGTCGGGAATTGTCCTCCGTGTACCTCACTGTCTGTTCCATCATGAGTGTCCTGAATATAGATAAAAATTGTTATTGTTGTTGTTACTAAATTATCTTGTATGTACTTATTTGTTGTATTTACATTTCCTTCATTTGTAAGTTTCCCAGAACTCCTGAGGAATGGGTTAACATCGCGAGTGATTTCGGCCATCTTCATCAATTTTGGAATACCGTGGGGGCAATTGATGGCAAGCTTATTGCCATTAAAAACCAGCGAAATCAGATTCTTTATACTACAATTACAAAGGGGTTTTCAGCATCATGCTGTTAGCTGAGGTAAACGCAACAGAGGAATTCATCATGATAGATGCTGGCACGAATGGACAAATATCGGATGGAGGAGTCCTGTACTACTCAAAATTTGAGGAACGTTTACAGCAAAGAGCCCTGAATTTGCCAAAACCCACATTTTCTGTACGTGTTCGTCGCGGACGAGGCATTTGCATTAGACGTAAATTTAATAAAACCCTATTCTCAGAATTTTCTGAATGAAACTCAATATGAATTCAATAAAATATTGTCAAGAGCTCGTGTAGTTGTGGAAAATACTTTTGGAATTATGGCTTCCAAATTTGGTATATTTCAGAAACCAATCAGCCTTGAACCGCAAAAGGAAAATTGCACAATTTCCTTGCTAAGGAAAATAATCAAGTATACGTACCTTCACTCAAATGAAACAAGTACTGATGAATACGACCTTGTGGATTTACAAAACACTCTGAACAGAAATAGTGCCTCAGATGCACAGAAAACCTAGATAAATATGGTGAGTACTACAACAATGGACTTATGAAACTTTTCTTTGTATGTGTTTGATTACAGAATGTAAAAACAAAGTGTATTAAGTGCTTGAAAAATAAATGCTTGTTTCTCTTAGTTTAACGATAATAAGAAAGGAAATAATAATGTTCATAATAAATTCTGCCAAGCTATGAGAACATAGTTCAGTATTCCTTGACAAGAGCCCAGGCCTGTTGTTTTAACAACAGTAGCTAGAATCGTAAATCCGACCCCATGAGTTTTTGTGGGGTTTATTTCCTCCCCGGTGCTTGTGTGTATTTAAAGCACTTCTGGTTCAGTTCGGTCAAAAGGTTTTGTATCTAGTATAATCACAAAATCTCAATGGGATGAAATTACGGGTGGAGGATTAGATGGGGTTTCATGGTGGCTTGCAGTAACCGCAGAGCCAATTTCATTTAAATCTTTGACAAAAAGTCTGTTGCCTTTCCACCTAGCTTAAAGGACCCGGCATTGCCCAGTTTCTGCCTTCTCTTTGTAAGAAATATCCTGTAAGGCCGTTTGTCCAGCTTTAACACACTTTTGGGCACCCATTAAAATTTTGATGACCCTCAACTTTGAACGCCCCTAGAAATCTGGATAACCCATTATGTAAAATTTGGACACACCTTGACACACGACACATGTAGAGGTTCTAATTGTTACAGTAACACAAGGGCCATGACGCAGAATTCTCTAATATGTATACAGACAAAAATTATTATTGATAAAATTTATATATGTAGGTACTTACCTCGTCTACCTGCC